CGTATTGCTAGGGCATCCGGGTACTGGCACGGACGATGATGAAGGAAAACTGGGATTGGCCTCGGAGAGCAATTTCTGTATCGGAGGTCCTGGGATAATAATGAGTCGATCGGTATTGAAGAAAATTCACGCTCATATTGATGGATGTATAAATAACCCGGCTACTACGCAAGAGGATAGTGAAGTTGGTCGCTGTCTAACGATGTTTGCAGGCGTACAGTGTCCTTGGGGTTACGAGGTAATAATTATAATTTCATAAAACTCATTAAAGAAGTACTTATTTTTTCTTGGTAGCACTTTTAAAATTAAAAAAAACATTACAAGGGCAGTTTTGCAATTGATTTTCAGTGAAGTAGCTTTTGTAAAACTGACTTCGATAACTCGTTGTATCTTTTAGGCAAGTGAATATTTCCACCAAGATTACGGTGATAATAGATTTTCTTATCATGGAGACCTTTACTTGTTAGCAATGAACAAAGCTGTGAGCTTCCATCCAGTTAAAGATCCTGCGTATCTTTATCGTCTACATTACCACTTTCTAAGTTTAAAACTACGAAAGCGTCTTAGCCGTATCGTGACTTTAGAAAAAAACACGGAATATATTAAGGAAATGGTTCGGTATAATGAAAATGCTGCTCCGATACCTTGCCTGCATTGTATAAGATGCGATGAGTTTCATTCGGTTGAAGGCAATCGCGACAGCATCTCAATTAGAACATGGGGTATGTTTCATGATAAATTTAGGTATAGTATGAACGAGTATGGCTCTTCACAGACAACTTCTACCACAAAAGCATGGGATCTTATCCTGAGTGAAGCAAAAGAAAGCATTATAAAGATGGAAAAACCTCAACTGCATCATGGATTTTATTTTGGTCAGTACAACGTAGGTTATATGAAGGAAAATCCCCTAAAGTGCAACGTTCATGTCGTGTATTTTACTGCTCGATTGAAGCGTGTTGTCAATGGTACGGTAAAGAGCTTTCATCATCTAAGACGTGTGTTTATTAAGAACTCCTTTGGAAAGTTACATGCACGTTTTCTGGCGCCTAAAGACCGCGAACAAGTTATTAATATTGTTCTTTTGTGCCAAGATTGCCATGAACATCTGCAATCTCTTCTTCGTAACGTACAAGACAAACTTCAACAAGAGAACTTGCGTATTTTCTTCGTTACCTCTCGATATGATACGAAAAGGAAATGTATAAAACGTACATAAAAGTTGGAAAGAGGCCGAGCAATACAAAAAAAAGGCAGTCTGGATCGAAACTCAGGAGGAATTGGACTCACTTACCGTGTTGAAAACTGTATTGAAACTAATCCACGATAATGAATTGATATTGTTCACTCGTCTCGATTTCACAATAAACAAAGACTTCCTGGAAAGATGTCGATTGAATACTGAAAAGTCTGCACCTTATTTTCCAACTATCATAAAAACTCCTAACGAAAATAACGTGTTTGATAGTGGTAATTGGCAATATGACGATTATTCCACGTTTTGTGCTTTTAGCGAAGATGTTAGATCGATGGTTAATGAAACGGTTGATGAAGACGAGATCTTCAGTAGTCGCTCATTGGTAGATAGGTTTTTATCACGCGAGCATCTCATATTTCGAGCAACCGATCCTGATGTTATTACCTCGGAAAAAGTATCATGTCTACAGGAGGATTGTGAGGAAGCAGTTAAATCCAGTAAAACTTTATTTGACTATATTTATGAGAAAAGATATCTTGATAGTTACTTGTAAAGTTTGCACAATGTCAGCATCACGCAGTGAATAGGTTAATTTATAAAATTGTAATATAAAATGTTGGTGGCTTTATTTTTTAAACAAGTATGAAAGTAGGTATTCCATGAATATTTTTCACTGAACGTGAACAACACTGTGTTCTAAAGGCGACTGATGCCGAACCTGAAATGGTTGAAAGTTTACACCGTTGTTGTACCAAGCAAACTAATACATTTCTCTATAATGTTTATCAGATCAAAACCAAATGTCAGGAAAGTGAAAGCAACGCAAATTATTTATGCTTCTTATCTCAGCGTAGCCTTTTCTGGTTCTAGATTCGTTATGCTGTTTCTGAAAAATATTTGAGAGAAAGGATTATTTTTAGGACAGATGAAGTTCATTGACTCAAAGATTAAAGACTAGCATAGCGTCTGGCCAGAATGATATTCGGTTTTAGTTTATAAGTTCCACCGTCTTCCGAGAAAGAGCATCGTTGATCAAAATGGTGGTGGAATACCTTCCTTTGATTGGTGCAAATTGTTGAAATGTAACGAGATGCCTCTTTTTGTGTGTAGTCGACGTATTGATAAAGATTTTAGGAGCGTTTCAAGTTTCAAAAGAGCTTTTTAGAAGACGTCAGACCACAATCTACATCAATAATGTACTGAGTTTGTAGTCTCATCATGTTTTCTTCCTAAAGAAGCAGCTATAAAGTAATTTGAATTAAACGCTCCGTATATTATACAGGTCAGTGACAATTCTTCATTGGCAGATTGATGTTAGCGCCGGTGTGTCAACGTAATTTAATGAAGATGCCGACAATTTTGTTTAGGATTATGGCTATTTTGGAGCAAAACTGATTGTGTTCATCTGCTCTCTTCTAGAAGTAGTATTTTTGTAGTAAACTATGGCACTAAAACGACCAGCGGAAAGTTGTTTGTTTGAGGATTGCCAGAAACAAAAAATTGGTCCGCCCTCTTTCGAAACATGGGCAGCTCAAGTGGTTACCAAGCCAAAGCTATAATAGATGACTATCATTACGAGCAAAGTGCTGTTCACTTCAAGAAGAAAGATGCAGAGCAAGACGCTGCAAGAATATGTTTGTCTGCCTTGGGTACATTTCATGGAGATCATGGTGGAGGAATGATAAACCAACACATCTGTTCCTAGCTTTAATTAAGGTTGTACTTCACCATGTTAAAAGGCTTTTCAGTTAAAAACTCTTTATCCTCTGTCACTGACAAAACGACGGCTGCTTCTGGTACTGTGCAATCCCTAGCACTTTCGGCTAAACTGATAAAAACGAAAGATGTTGGCACTTGCAACGAGATGATGAAAACATTGATTGCTTTAAAATGCCATCTTTACCAGTTTCCGCGGTAAAGCCAGGTGAGTTGTCAATCGTGAAGTAATTTAATTTTTAAGTATGGAGAAATTTCCATATTTACGTAAAAGCACAATTGAAATAACAAACTGAATATATAAAACAAACTTTTTTATCACAGACATGTTTCGGCTAACTTACGCCATCATCAGTGCGAATGAATGTGTTACAGAATGTCATACTTAAATATATAAATAGAGATAAACGACTTACATTTTATTGAAATGAGGATAGTATTACAAATACTTACAATTAATTAACATATGGAAGTTAGACGATACATTAAAAGGAAGAACAAAAAAATAAATAAATAAATTAAATTGACATAAAATTATTTACAAACTAAAAATGGTATTTACGTGGTGAACTTGCTTATTGAGATCGGGTTTAAGTTAGTTAATGTGTATGGCTTCTTTAATTCTGAGGTTGGAAGAATAATTGGCAGTGTCGATATTTGTAAAGCAGTTGTTGGTGTATTGTGATTTGCAGTTATGTGAGGAGAGAAGGTGTCTGAAGATGTGTGAGTTTTTATCACTGGAAATGTGCTCATTCATCCTGGTAGAAATATGACGCATTGTAGCGACTATTACAAGCCGTACAAGTAGATTGATATATTACCCCGGATTTAAGATTAAAGGGAATCGAATCTTTAAAACTGAAAAGATTTTTAGTTTTGTAGGGCATAAAATTATTTTCATTTCAAAGGTACGCAGTATCGTTTGATCAATATAGTTAATCGCTTTTGAATGATTTTAGAGAAATATCCTATATACGGAAGTTTAAAATATCTTATGGTGTTAGTATCATTATTTTCCGGCGTGCTATTGTCTGGCGAATGAAATGAATGTTTTTCGTTATAAGTATTGATGATTTTCTCCAAAAATTGTTGAGGAAAAGAGTTACGTTTTAATGTAAGAATAAAAGTCGTTTGAGGTCGTTTTGAAAACCACTGACGGAGTTGTTGAGTTTGCGTGTTCTATCAAGAAGAGTACGTACTACTCTCCAGTTGTCATGGCGATATCATCTAAGCGTAAACTCGAGGTTCTAAGGACGATGTGACTGAGAAGAAATCAAATACAAAATCAACTGGTTTTGCTTTGCTTGGATCTTATGATGACGACTCAGATGAAGATTAGTAAATCTTTTTTATAAGTATTTGAGAAAGCAAGTTGTAGGAGTTGGGTTATGACCCTGTCGATTTGAGTTTGCGTGTTGTTTTGTGTTTTAGTCGAGATGGGGGTGGTGTTTATACTTTCTAGAATCGTCGTCTTAAATATTGATGCTCGAGGGAGGCATGTTTTGTATGTATACTCTGCTTGATAGACCAGTGATACGGATAAGGAGGAGAAAGACGTCTTTGACGTGACGTGTGCACACTTTACAGACATTCACGACAGCACTTTACAAGGATTTCAGTAGTTTTTTGTTGAGTGAAAAATTCCAACAACAGCTTGCGTCCATTCTCGATGTGTTATTCGTGCTCTAGAAAATATCTTCAATAAGTTTTGTGAATTCATCATTGTAAATTTAAAAGTCCAACATTGATGAAAGTTCTTTGTTTCTGCATGCTACTACCGTTTGTTTTTATACTGTGGTATAGCTACATCTCTTTCCATGAGTGGCTTTTCGTTGATATTTGTGTGAGCAAGGAAAGTTATTGTAATAAAGTAAATGGTTTGAACCCGGGAGTATCGTTATATGTTTGTAAATGATGATCGTCCTGGTTAATAAAGTCCTGAGAAGGACTGTTTTTGTTGTTGTTGACTGACGTTTCGACAACCTTAGCGGTAGTCATCTTCAGAGTCAAAATGACTCTGAAGATGACTACCATAAGTTATCAAACATCAATCAACTCACTTCAGTCCTTCTCAGAACTTCCTGGACGGATGTGTCATGTTAAACTTAAATTTAATAAAGTGGCGTTGTTTACATTGGTCTTGACTCTGAGAATAAAGGATTCAAAATGAAAGATCATTAAAATAAAATGCAGTTGCTCATTGTTTCTTTGTTTTTGAAATTGTGGTAACAGCGTTCTTAGTATGTTTACTTATACTCGAAGGCGTAATTGAGGTTGTAATTAGATTTTAAATATTGGAGATATTTCTTATATATATCTTATGTCTAAGGCTCCAACTGTTGTGTTTGTATCTGCATGATATCTTCTCTTGCAGATTGAAATTTTAAATACATGAATATACTAGAGGAATGGTTTTATGATGAAAAGGAAGTTAATTGTTCTTTGAGGTATATATTGTTGTATCGTTGAACAGGAACTTCTTCTCAAAGTCGAAACATCAATATTACGTTGTAACGACGGTTTCTCAGCAAGATTTTGTTTTCTACAGTCCTCAATGCATTACATCCTCTATTTCATTGTACAATTGTACAATTTGTAGACTTGCTTTTTTTTTTTAGTGAAATCATGCAATATACTGTGACTGGTGACCACCGAATGAAACCTCTATAATTGACGAGTTCCTGCTTCAAGAACAAGTCATGCTAAATATTCTTGGTGTCGTAGTTAGCTTTCTCATGTCAATTGCGTTCATTAATCTATTCAATCTCTACGCTTTTACGACAATCTGGCGTAACAAATGCTTTCGCCCATCACAGAATTCAAGATATGACAGTATCGATTTGGAACTGAAGAGTAGAGATCTAGTGCTAGTCAGTATCATGACACATTGTGGGACAATCAACTCAAGGGCAGTTGCAGTATACAATACCTGGGCTCAAATCATTCCTGGCAAGGTTCTTTTCTTTGTTGGAAACGATAGAGTGGTAGAGAAAGTGTCTGTTCCCATTGTTGTTCTTCCTGTTGAAGATGGCGTTTATCCTCCTCAAAAAAAAGCAATGTTCATGCTCAAATATGTATGGCAAAATTATGGCAATCAGTTCCAATGGTTTATACGGGCCGATGACGATGTGTATATAAATGCTGAAAACTTAGATGTCTTATTGAGAAGTGTAGCGTCAAGTGATGACGTATTGCTAGGGCATCCGGGTACTGGCACGGACGACGATGAAGGAAAACTGGGATTGGCCTCAGAGAGCAATTTCTGTATCGGAGGTCCTGGAATAATAATGAGTCGATCGGTATTGAAGAAAATTCACGCTCATATTGATGCTTGTATAAATAACCCGGCTACTACGCAAGAGGATAGTGAAGTTGGCCGCTGTCTAACGATGTTTGCAGGCGTGAAGTGTCCTTGGGGTTACGAGGTAACAATTATAATTCCATAAAACTCATTAAAGAAGTACTTATTTTTTCTTGGTAGCACTTTTAAAATTAAAAAAAAAACATTACAAGGGCAGTTTTGCCATTGATTTTCAGTGAAGTAGCTTTTGTAAAACTGACTTCGATAACTCGTTGTATCTTTTTAGGCAAGTGAATATTTCCACCAAGATTACGGTGATAATAGATTTTCTTATCATGGAGACCTTTACTTGTTAGCAATGAACAAAGCTGTGAGCTTCCATCCAGTTAAAGATCCTGCGTATCTTTATCGTCTACATTACCACTTTCTAAGTTTAAAACTACGAAAGCGTCTTAGCCGTATCGTGACTTTAGAAAAAAACAAGGAATATATCAAGAAAATGGTTAGATATAATGAAAATGCTGCTCCGATACCTTGCCTGCATTGTATAAGATGCGATGAGTTTCATTCGGTTGAAGGCAATCGCGACAGCATCTCAATTAGAACATGGGGTATGTTTTATGATAAATTTAGGTATAGTATGAACGAGTATGGCTCTTCACAGAAAACTTTACCACAAAAGCATGGGATCTTATCATCAGTGAAGCAAAACAAACCATTATAAAGATGGAAAAACCTCAACTGCATCATGGATTTTATTTTGGTCAGTACAACGTAGGTTATATGAAGGAAAATCCCCTAAAGTGCAACGTTCATGTCGTGTATTTTACTGCTCGATTGAAGCGTGTTGTCAATGGTACGGTAAAGAGCTTTCATCATCTAAGACGTGTGTTTATTAAGAACTCCTTTGGAAAGTTACATGTACGTTTTCTTGCACCTAAAGACCGAGAACAAGTTATTAATATTGTTCTTTTGTGCCAAGATTGCCATGAACATCTGCAATCTCTTCTTCGTAACGTACAAGACAAACTTCAACAAGAGAACTTGCGTATTTTCTTCGTTACCTCTCGATATGATACGAAAAGGGAAATGTATAAAAACGTACATAAAAGTTGGAAAGAGGCCAAGCAATACAAAAAAAAGGCAGTCTGGATCGAAACTCAGGAGGAATTGGACTCACTTACCGTGTTGAAAACTGTATTGAAACTAATCCACGACAATGAATTGATATTGTTCACTCGCCTCGATTTCACAATAAACAAAGACTTCCTGGAAAGATGTCGATTGAATACTGAAAAGTCTTCGCCTTATTTTCCAACTATCATAAAACTCTAACAAAAATAACGTGTTTGATAGTGGTAATTGGCAATATGACGATTATTCCACGTTTTGTGCTTTTAGCGAAGATGTTAGATCGATGGTTAATGAAACGGTTGATGAAGACGAGATCTTCAGTAGTCGCTCATTGGTAGATAGGTTTTTATCACGCGAGCATCTCATATTTCGAGCAACCGATCCTGATGTTATTACCTCGGAAAAGTATCATGTCTACAGGAGGATTGTGAGGAAGCAGTTAAATCCAGTAAAACTTTATTTGACTATATTTATGAGAAAAGATATCTTGATAGTTACTTGTAAAGTTTGCACAATGTCAGCATCACGCAGTGAGAATAGGTTAATTTATAAAAATTGTAATATAAAATGTTGGTGGCTTTATTTTTTAAACAAGTATGAAAGTAGGTATTCCATGAATATTTTTCACTGAACGTGAACAACACTGTGTTCTAAAGGCGACTGATGCCGAACCTGAAATTACGGTGGCTCACAAGGGCCACCACACAAAATAAAAATATTAATACACACACAAAATAAAAATACACACACAAAATACATTATACACACACAAAATAAAAATACACACACAAAATAAAAATACACACACAAAATAAAAAATACACACATAAAATAAAAATACACACACAAAATATGGTTGCGGGCGCTTGCAGTGTCGGATTACTCGGAATGCTCGTAATTGATCGCTTTTGTTTTCAAAGTTCTAATGGTTCCAACTTCCAGAGTACATAACAAAATTCACTGATTTCACTGTGATCAATTATTTCAAAGTTGCTTACGATATTGCTCCCCGTATTTTGGTTAAAATTAAGGTTAATGTGTTGTCCTTTGAAAGGACATTATTGGTCTAGCCTGTCCTGTACCAGTTATAAACAGCTTTGGGGTACTTGAAGTTGAAGTTAACGGACTTGCAGAGCTCGAAGGGCAACTGCTTGAAGAGACGCTACTCGTCATTGACGCTTCAGAACATTTTGGCAAAGAAGTTAATCTTCCCAAACGCACACCGCATTTGTGACAAAAAGAAGCTTTGTCAAGTGATTGTGCACAACAGTTGGCACAAAACATAATTATGCCAGGATTATGCAAGAGCTTGCTTTCGATTCCTTTCCAAATGTAATGTCAAATGTTTTGCAGTTGAAACAGTTAAATACGACGACAAGTCGACCAAATGTTAAAATCACAATTAGTGAATTACACATATCTGATTACAAACTGATAATATGATAGTCAGACCATCCGACACTGCAAGCGCCCGCAATCATATTTTGTGTGTGTATTTTTATTTTGTGTGTGTATTTTTTATTTTGTGTGTGTATTTTTATTTTGTGTGTGTATTTTTATTTTGTGTGTGTATAATGTATTTTGTGTGTGTATTTTTATTTTGTGTGTGTATTAATATTTTTATTTTGTGTGGTGGCCCTTGTGAGCCACCGTATGAAATGGTTGAAAGTTTACACCGTTGTTGTACCAAACAAACGAATATATTCCTCTATAATGTTTATCAGATTAAAACCAAATGTGAGAATAGTGAAAGCAACGCAAATTATTTATGCTTCTTATCTCAGCGTAGTGTTTTCTGGTTCTCGATTCGTTATGCTGTTTCTGAAAAATATTTGAGAGAAAGGATTTTTTTAGGACAGATGAATAGACGATTTATAGACGATTTCATTGACTCGAAGATTAAAGACTAACATAGCGTCTAGCGAGAATGAGCATCGTTGATCAAAATGGTGGTGGAATACCTTCCTTTGATTGGTGCAAATTATTGAAATGTAACGAGATGCCTCTCTTCGTGTGTAATCGACTTATTGATAAGCATTTTAGGAACATTTGAAATTTGAAAAGACTCTTTAGAAGACATCAGACCACAATCTACATCCATAATGTACTAAGTTTGTAGTTTCATCATGTTTTCTTCCTATAGAAGCAGCTATAAAGTAATTTGAATTAAACGCTCCGTATAATTTACAGGTCAGTGACAAGTCTTCAATGGCGGATTGATGTTAACAACAGTGGTTAGCTAGCTTAATTTGATGAAAATGCAGACAATTTTGCTATGGATTATGGTTATTTTGGAGCAAGACCGATTGTGTTCATCAGTTCTCTTGTAGAGGTAGTATTTTTGCAGTAAACTATGGCACTAAATCGACCCGCGAAAAGTTGTTTGTTTGAGTATTGCCAGAAACAAAAATTGGTCCGCCCTCTTTCGAAACATGGGCAGGTCAGGGGTTACCAAGCTAAAGTAATAATAGATGGCTATCATTACGAGCAAAGTGCTCTCCACTCCAAGAAGAAAGATGCAGAACATGACGCTGCTAGAATATGTTTGTCTGCCTTGGGTACATTTCATGGAGATCATGGTGGAGGAAAGATCAGGGACGAATATATTGTGGGTGCAAACGTTAACCAAAGTATTTCTAAGCCTAGTCTTAATTCAGGTTGTACTTCACCAGGTTCAAAAGGTTTTAGTTATTTGCCAAAAAGTGGAGGATTCTCTGGCAATGCAAAGATGCCGAAAAGTGCCCTTCATGAGTATTGTCAGGCCAATCACATTGCATTACCGCGATACAATACTGAAGGAGTATATAATGGCCATATTTTACAGGGTTTTAATTGTGTTTTGATTGTAAATGATCAATACTATACCACTGATAATCTACACCCAAATAAACGTGAAGCTGAGCATGCGGTGTCTCATAAAGCTTTGAATATTATTGAATCTTATGAGAGATCAGTTTTTTATGGTGGAGATTCACAAAGCCAGAAGTTGAAAACACCGTCACAAAAGACAAGAATCCCAACCCTTCGAACACCTGAAACCTTATACAAAAGTCTTTTGCAAGAGCATTTGCAGCAAAGGCAGATTGAGATACCAAGCTACAGTACTGAATTTACCGGTTAGTCTATCTGTTTTGTGTTGTTCGTCTAATTACCTCTGCTGTATTTGATATGTTTAATTTTGTAGATGGGGGATACTTAAGTAAGGTGATGATAGAAGGGCAAAGCTACGTAGGCAAAGACTGTTGCTCTTCAAAGAAGCAAGCTGAACAAAGTGCAGCCAAAGCTGGTTTAATTGCAATGGGTGTTAAAGATCCAGAAGCTGTTGCTAGAGGACTAACAAATAAGTGAGTGGTAGTCATGAAGTCTATTTATAATTTTTCCCAGTACACAAGATGCTTGATATATATGATTTGATATTGAATTGAGTAAATGTCATTGCTATTCTAGAAACTTGCAAAGTGGTAACAAGAGTACAGATGATGCACCATACAAAAAAGATTTACGAGATCTCGTGCCAGATGACATAAATGTAGTTAAGGATGACAGTTCATGGTTGCATTACCACAATGAATTACGCTTTGATGTTGATGACTTTGATGATATTGATGGTGAATTTGCTGACTTTCAAAAAGTTGAATTAGGAGAAATGAAGTATGCGTTCTATTTTTTCAATCTTTTTACAATCTGTAGTTTCATAACTTTTTCTTTTGTGCAGACGCAAACTTAGTGTCAGTATGTGGGGCAATGAAAGATTTTCAGGAGCAGTTGTGCAAAGACCCAGTAAAATTAGGTGTATTGGTCAAGAGAGTGTTAGTAGTCATCAAACACCATCATCAGGGAAGCGACCATTAAGAAGCGGGGAGTACGAAGTTAAAGATGTTCACCTTGGAAACTTGAGTGTGGCTGAAGCTTGGCCTGAGAAAAGAAATATTGTAATTGTTGGAAGCAAGGAAACCTCCATTCCATTGTTTTGTCAAGGTGACAGATATCGATGTTCTCTCAAGGATATTTCCACTGGTGAACTTGTCGACATTTTGCCAGGTTAGAGTTGTCTTTGATTTTTGACTTTTTTGCAATAAAAGCAATGATAATTTCTGAGTAGCAACAAATTTAAAAAATATTTAATAAAAAGGACGATTTTTGTAAAAGCAAACATGTTTCGACATCAACACAATGCCATCTTCACTGCGAATGATAGTGATATGAAATATGATACAGTATAGGAAGATATGAATAGATTATTTACATTGAATGGGAGTGTGATCTATTTAAAGGAAGTTTAAAACAAAAAAGTATACATAAATAAGTATGTGCATGGCATTGTGTTAATGTCAAAACATGTTTGCTTTTAAAAAAGTCGTGGTTTTTGTTAAATGTTTTTTAAAATCAATGATGTTGTAGAAACTTACTCACCAGCTCCCTGATTGCATGCGTCAACACAAACTAGCATTTAATCCTCTTAATTGTAGCAATAAACTAGCATCAGATCCCCCTTTATTTTCTGGGTTTTTTTTAATCTAAAGGCCCCAAAGAGGGTTAAGTTTCAATCTCGCACTCTTTCGCGTTGAAATCTAGTAGAAAACAGTCTTATCATTTAAATGTAAGGTTTTCTACTCAAGATGATGTACACTTCATTCTGCAGGCCATCGTCTTGTTGGTTTGGAAGGCTCCTATGTCGTTAGGGGAGGTCAAATAGTTTTGCGTGCAACACAATGTAAGAAGATTTTAATGCCAGAAACGCCAGATGATGTCCTTGTTAGTTGTGGCGTAGTCGTGCTCCATTGTATTCCTAAGAAAGAGAACAGTGTAGTAAGGTTGGTATCTGAATTAGCTATATACGAGCCACGTGAAGGCAGACACTTAGCAAACGTTTCTATATATTCTTCAACTTACTGGATTGTGTTGTCATCATATAAAATTCGTGCATTAGAAGACTGGAATTTGTTATATCGACTTCAAATCTTTCTGTAGAAATAACCTCGCAGTTGTGTACAAATTTTCCAATGTTGCGTGTTTGTTTTGTGATATAGTTGCGACGTGAATATACTGTTGAAGCGTTATCTGTGTAGTCAAGCCTTCATCAATGTAGTTCGTGGACTGGCCCAGTATTTTCGATGCAGGGAATCCGGTCGGTCGTTCACTTTTAACAAGGAGCTGATGGTGTCTCACGTGAAAGACTGGATGCTAGAAGAAGTGATGGCCATTGCATCCTTTTCTGATACAGCGCTGGAGAATGTCTTTCAACACATTATGAAGTTTGATAGACGTTGGGTGAAGTACTTTAAAGATAAGGAGTTGTCACCGGAGCTGAAGCATATACAGGTTCAAGACACATACATATGTGAACCATAATGCATTATGTCTCATGCACATTTCCTTATATTTTTGTCATAGACGGCTGCAAACGATGAACTGTTCAGACGTGCTAACAATGGAAGGATCAACATCAAGATAGATTTCGACCGTGGAAATTACCCAAAGGAAACCTATACCATCGCGTGCTTACAACTGGTATTGTTGCTCTTCTTCATGATTATGGTCGTTAGCTCAAAACTATTTGTAAAATAAGTCTCCTCCGCCTTCTATAGGCGTGTTCTTGGAAAGTCCTGCCGAAGCTGCGATGCGTGAACTCAAAGAGGAAACTGGGATCAAGTTAAAGCTCAGTGATATTAAATCTTCACCTTACGTTGATCTTCCCCAAAGGGACAATATTAACCCTCATAAAGGTGAACCCATATTAAACTATATAATGCTCGTTTGATTAACGCTTTCCTTCTTACAGCTAGTTTCTGTGATATTTTCACGTACTTTATCTACTCCTTCAGGTGATTTTGCTCGTTATTTTCTCTGTGGGATTATCACAGAAGAAGAAAAGAACACGGAGAAGGAAGTTGATAAACAAGGTAAGTGAACAGGAAAAATATATTTTCTCTTTTGGCTTTTGTAAGGCTTATGTTATCAAAAGTCTTTGCTTTAGAATCTCCGAGTAAAGACGTTAATGTATCAGGCACCATGAAGGACAACATGAACACTCCTATTGTCACATGTTCGTCGAATCAAGTTCAAACACCTGTAATCACCAATTCAACTTACAATGAAGCATATTCAATGAATGCACAGGCATATTCTGCAAACACCGCCCTTTCTCATGGCTATACGGGGTGGAGAAATGTAAGCGTTACTCCATCCTCTGGTTGCCTAAATGCAAATTTTGGAAACTCTGCGACAACGTTCAGGGACAATAGTACAACGTATGGGCACGCAAATACCAACTACGGAAACTACAGTACTGGTTATGACCATGTTAGTACAAGTTACGAACACGCGAATAGTGGGTATGACAACACAAATGCAGGTAAAAATAACGAAACTACTGGTTTCAGTAACCCAAACACAAATCAAGGCATCTCCAATAAAGATTATGGTAGCATTAAAAGCGGCTATGATGACTTAAACACAGATCACAGTAACGCAAATATTGATTACGGGAGTGTTAAAACGTCCACCACAAATCCAACAACATATAGTGAGTCGAATCATCTTGGAAATAATGCTGGAGGAACGTATGGTAGCATGAGGAACACTGGGACATATTCTGGGCATTGTAGCACAGATCAATCTTCACATGAACAAACAGGAAACATAGTTTCACGAGACTCAAACAGTGCTACCACAGACGTTAGTGAATATTCTACAAACATTGAACACCACATCAACGCTGTTTCTAGTCATGTTGTCACACATCCTAATCCAAGTATAACCAGTGATGATAATAGTGTATCTTTAACATGTCAAACTACTTATTCTGCTGCCAATACAGAGCCAGGTTTTACGGAATCAACATTCACGCTTTCTTCATCGTCCTGTAATATTAGTGAAAGAAAGAAGAAGAAACAACTGAAAATAGTAGTATTGTGAATGGTAGGTCTTCACTGTTTTTGAAGTGAAGAATTTGATACTTTTTCTTAAAATGCATTAGCAAAACATGTGAGAGGTTATTTGTTTCAATATGAACTACATACTACTCGTTTCATTTAAATACCATTTAAATTACCAGTTTCAATGGCTTCCCATGAAGAGTTAAGAAATAGACCTTTTCCTTTACCAAGCACTGTTCACTTTTCAATTCTAAATAGACGAAACGAAGAATGAAAACGAAAGCACAAGTGACGAAGGATCCAACGTTATACGTTCTCCATTTATTGCTGGAGCCGTTCACGAGGAATGCAAGTGGTTTGATATGTACGAAGCCAAAGAAATCTGCACTGAATTTCATGAAATACACCAAAGTGAGGTTTTCCAAAAACTTCTAGCTCGGCTTAAAGAAGTTGTAACCACTATGTAACACTGATTTTAAATGTTTGCATTATGATCAACGATGTAATTATGAATGGTCAACTCGTTGACCATTTATTGCGGTTGGATAAGCTATCGATTCGATAGTACACTATCCATTCCATACGCTTGTAATTAGTATTTTCTTACTGCTTTTTCCCTTCACCTTATTTTTCTGGTGTGTAGTATACAGAGGGTGCTTATTGCGTATAATGAACTTTCAGTCCCATCATGCATTGCGGTTATCAAAACAGCTTTAAATTTTCCCGCCTCACAAGCATCTCACACAAGTGGCGAAGTAGAAGAATATTTAAAAGTATCATTTCACTCTTTAAAGTTTAGACATAAATGTTTCCCTTCGAAATTACACCTGCCTGGACGCAAATTGATCGAATGGCATCCACACAAGAAGGAAAAATGAAAGGTTTGTTCTTATTTCTTTAAATTATTCTTGCGTTCAGTTCTTACGCCACTGTTTGTCCACAACGCTCAAAACCTTAAACCGAGAACCGCCATTTTATTTCAAAGTAACGCGACATTACACTCCTTATTTGCTTAAAATATGGTGGAAAAATTTCCTATTCTTCATAAGGATACACATTTGCAAAGATATTTTTGAAACTTTGCCACACGAGGGCGACAAAGTTGTTTCACACCCATATAACTAACAAAATTTTCATCTGTAAAGACAAGTACAGTATTCAGTCCTTTATTAAATTCAAAGACTAATTATAATACTTTGGCTAATAAATAGCGAGCCATGGCGTTAAAATAATTTCATAACTAAAGTGTAAAAGTTAATATAAATGTTTTAACGTCTGTTATAGCTTTTAGGGCTACTTTCATTAGGGATAATTTGCCTAAACCAATATACTTTTTCAAGGGTATTTATTAAATCTTTCCTACATCATGGGAGTTATCTGGCACTTACTTGAGCCAATAACAGTTTTGAAGCAATTTTCCACATGGGCACATAAAGCCAATAAATATATATATATATATGTAATTTGTTATGCATTATTACTATTTGCACATGGTGAACACAGCTATGCTACCAATACCAAATGCTGTTGTTATAAGGGCACTTTTCCACCAACTGTTATTTTCACCAAGATCTTGAAAGCGATTTTGTAAACTTTTCTAAAAGATAAAACTGCTATATTACATTTGCTTATGCCAGTTCATACATTATACTAAAGTTGGATACTGTTGGAAATGTCACCAGCCTTAAAATGGCAAGAGAATGACCAAAAATCATACTAATCTCAAATAAATTCATGCAAAATTGGCAAACTAATTCAAGAAAAAGTTGCAAATAAATTCATGCAAAAGTTGCATATAAATTCACGAAAAAGTTGCCCAAAAATTCATGCAAAAGTTGTACAAAAATTTATGAAAAAACAAAAATTCACGAAAAAGTTGCCCAAAAATTGATGAAAAAAACAAAATTCATGCAAAAGTTGCCCAAAAATTCATGAAAAAACAAAAATTCATGAAAAAGTTGCCCAAAAATTTAATGAAAAAACATAAATTCATGATAAAGTTGCCCAAAAATTTCATGAAAAAACATAAATTCATGCAAAAGTTGCCAGTAAATTCATGAAGAAATTGTTAATCTTATAAATTCATGCAAAACGTTATTAATAAATTCATGAAAAAACATGCATATCAATGCTAAAATATATAATATTTATGAGCAGAAAAAAGGAATGTCAGTATGAATGAATACCGCAGAATGTCACAAACACATACTACGTCGTAACTCTTTATTTTAAGAAACTGCAATTTTTTGCGATCAAGTTTCTGCATTCATCAAATTCCATGAATGCCAACTCACGAATGGCAAAGTCTTTCAATATTTTCACAATATTAAAATAAAAAAAAACACTTTGACTTTCAGATAACTACAAAAGAAAAATTTTACGAGCACCTTTGAGTATGACTCCCGTCGTGAAATTTGATGCTCGTGTATTACACTTCTAAAGTCTACTTTAATCAACTCAGAACGGAAACATATGAATGCAGAACTCCCTAGAAGGCATTTAACTTATGGCAAGACTGTTGATTACGCATACGAAGGCGACATTTACTAAAGCTGTCCCATTTTTGTCGAAGAACAAGTATCTTACCTTATTATCAAAAATCATAAACGTAAACTTTATCACACGGTAATTGCGATCAAACGTAAAATTACCACACATCAAACTTTTTTAGTTTCTTCACTAAATTTTAACATAAAGCACTGTCATAGTTCTCAATACCTTCGATGTCATTATCGACCGATTACACAATACAATATATATTGTTTTCCATCAACGCGATTAAACGTCGTGAGTTATATATCAGATTTTTTCTTACCCAGCCTCCTTGGGCTTGAATCCAGCCTAAGTCGGTAAGAAAACGTGCGGTCCAACCACTGATACTTTCTATCTGATCGCTCATGTTGTTTTCTTCGCAATACCTGCCTAATCTTGCGGAGAATGCCAACAACACAACTATCCTTCCCCAATTGATGATACCATCTGAGAACACGGTGTTGGCAATAGCACTGAATGAGTTATACCCTGTTTCATGAGTGAAATTCAACTTGGAACACAATTGTTCGAGGAGATCGGGGTTTCTCTCTTCAATATCGTCCGATAGTTTTCTCAACGTTTTAGCAGTCGCATTGACTGGTGGCACATTGCGCCCTATTTTGTAGCCGATTAAATCGTTCACCAGGATAGTTCCTTCCTTATATAATGTTCCTTCCAACGTTTGTTCACACAACTGACCGTTGACTGCCGCAGCCATGAATTTTATAATTTTACTATCTAAATATATTGATACTATTCTGTAAGCCGTCGTAACGACACGTACGTTAATTGTAAATCAAGTTTACGAATATTTCTTTTGAGAGAACATTTTGCCCAAATGTGGTGATTGTATGTAGTTCGGATTAACGATACGCGAATAAAGATTTCGTATTTCAGTTACGTTTCGAGTCCATCGTTGACATCGTTTTACAACCCAAAATGGCGGACGATTCGATTCGATTCAATCAGAATCCTCAGTTGCTTCTTGTTAGTTTTGCACACTTCGCACATGACCGAGCGTGCTGTGACTTTGGTTTTGTTTAATTCAGTTTTATCTTACGAGAAGATGTGATTGGTGGAATGGGAAAGATGCATTATCACATCGGATGTACATCACGTGATGAAGTGCGTCACTCGCTACTCGTTACGTGATTGGTAGATTTGTTTTATTGTTCTTTGGGTAAAAATACCACAGTTCGTATTATTTTATCGACGAGCAGACCAAAAGGCCGCAGAGCGAGTTGAAGCTTGAGATTGAGATTCAAATTTCTAAAAGAAAAAGACATCACGCCATAGCCGTTACAAGTGTATATCTTATCTGGTGAAGTCAAAATCAAGTTGTATTAAACCGTTTCGAAGATTTATCGACAAGCCGGAGGACCGATTGCATATCATTATATTGAAACGTGTTGCAAGGTAAGGGGATTGACTGGAGTAAAAACACCGAACTTGATATTCAACATGTTGTTTTATAGTAATCAGCTAAAAGATCGCTAGTAGACGTTTTTCTTTGTTTGAAATGTTGTACGATTGTTGTACGTTATTGTGAAGTGCGCAATTACACTCTGCAAATATAGTGTAGAACGTATGACGCAGTTAGTGATAGGTTTGTGGACTGCTTCTTCATTTAGATAATGGAGGGCAATGGGAAAAAGGAAAATAGTGATGACAAAGAAACACAAGATGTGATGAGTGCAGAGGCTGAAGTTGAGGAAGCCGCCTCTCCTGTTGAAGGAGCTGTTGGTTTAGCTCCAGAGCTCGTGTGCACTACTGCTATTGAAAGACCAAGTAATGGACATAAGTCTATGACGCCGAAAGAAATTGGACTTGTATTGCGACAAATTGGAGACATTTTGGAAAGCTCCGTTAAAAATCGTGATGGAAATCGTTGCAAAAGGAAGCGTGAAGATCGTGAGACATGAGATCAAAACAATCACTGAAACAATCGATGGCTCCGTAGTCCGTAAACGACCTCCGTTAAATCGCAGTAGCGTTTTGAAAATACACCAACTGTTTGACCTCTAGCTTCCGTAACTTTTTACGTCCCATGATAATGCTTCCTATTTCATCTGGTCAAGTAAAAGAAATCTCGATCCACAAAGTTTGCTTTGTTTTGTCCTGTCCGCCTGATTGCGCACTTGGTAATGATTATCGTGGGATTGTATGACGCGTTTCTCTTAAATTCCTAAATTCTGATACATAAATGTAAAAATTTTACTTATATCTGTTCGTGTAAATATATTTGATAGAATTATAATACCCATATTGGGTAGCTTTGTAAATCGATATGAATTTTGCTATGTTGTTATCAGCTAATTGTACATAAACATAACCCGGCTCTTGTAAATATTGTGCGTCCATCTTCGCCATGTTATGTGTGAATTTCGCCGTAAAGAAGGAAAGTTTGTGAATAACATTTGTACATTTAAATGACGGGATTTTTGTAAATTAAATCTTGGTGGATAATACGTAAAGATATGTGGGACTCAAGTTCATTATAGGATAGTTTTGTTTCGAGTTCATTGTTCTAAGCAGCTGCATTGTGTCTATGTTGATCGTGTTTTTTCTATATGTAATTGTCGTACGTGGGCTCTTGTCTTCTACAATGGAGGCGTGCGTTTCTTTCTAAAATTCTCTCATTCTTGCCTTCTGAAACGCGCACACACACGTCATTCATCTTAAAATGTAATGGTGCGCGTTCTTGCTTGTATGGAGAACAATGAACGTCTAAATTTAGAATAACTGACACTTTTGCTTTTCGTAACTTGCTACTCGTGAGAGGGGATTCCCTGAGTGATCGTGTTTAAACGCGCCCGTATGACACCTGTATCCAAGTGCGTTGTTTGCATAACACCTATAATATATTTTATATCGCGGAATAGTCGGTGCCTGGTTATGATATTCCCTGTTGTCAGAAAATACTTAGATTGTAACTAGTAGTGTTTGTCGACAAGTTTTTAGAACATACTTGTCGCAGTATTTGTTCAATTTACTGAACTGTTATAAGTTTTTAAGTTGATTAATATGCAGTAGCATCTTTCTTGTCATTATCTCACACAGTCATTGTCGCATGTCTTTCATTGGCCACTTTATTGACATTCTACAGTTTTATTTGTTTTTACGATTTTATTCATTTGAATGAGTGAAACCAGTGCTCTTGTTATAGCATCATCCTATGTCCTATACTCGATCTTTACTAGAGGGGCTATATAAATGCGGTGAAGTGCTTCTCAAGGTGATGTGTATGATGATAATTTTTTGTAGAACGACGCACGAATTTTGCAGAAAGCCAACTTTATGTCAAAGTTCAACCATACTCACAATGTGCTTTTTGCTACTTGTGTGGGAAACTTTTGTGCTGATATTCTCGTGAGAACATGTCCCTTGTTTTGGGTAATTGGATAACTGTTAGGAAGTAGTTAATTTACAGAAAATTCCAAAACTAACATTTATAAAAGTGTGCGTTGGTGTGTGATAAGCGTGTTATATTTTCACCTATCATACGATTGATACAAGTTTGCTATTTTAGTGGGGTTAATAGAAGTTTGCTTTGAGTTCAGTTTGTTTTGATTATAGCACTATATGACGCCATTTGCGGTCGTCACCGTTCGATTATCTTGATTGTAGGCTTAGCAAATTGTTGAGAAAATTCATTCACGTCAAGTGCCTTACTAGTGAATAATATATCTATGTTTCAAAGTATGATTTAGGTTTATAACTTTGCCATATTTCGAAAATTCCTATATTACGTGGCATGTTAGTGTGACTTACTTTATGCACGAAGAAGCCTGTGGTTTACTTGGGCGATCATGTTTCATTTGCACTCAGAAAAATAGACAAAAGTCACTGCTAATTTTGGAATATGATATTTAACTTGTAGACAAAACACTGCGAGACAAGTCATTCTTTATTAAATATTAATTGGTTGACACTTGAACACCTGTTTATTAACATATGACTTTTGCACCCTGGTCAACACGACGCAGCTGGTACTCACGTGAAGACTATCTTTAGTTTAGTCTTAGGTATCCTTACAATAATGTCCACCCGTTTTCGTCTTTCGTTACCGATAGTTGTATAGATATGGCCAAACGTCTACCAAAAAAGCATGACGCAATGTCAATGCTTGAAGTTGAAGCCCTGATCCATGATCGAATAGTCATCTTCTACTTACTTGCAAAGCTAATTTTTCTATTTCAAAATCAGTTTTGTTCACGCATGTGTCTATACACAAGTATTTTGGGTGAAGATTCTGGCCCTGTAAGACGTTATGTAATGGGATGAGTGGAAATAATTAGATGTAGTCCTATATCCCCATATCAAACTTTGACAAAGTTCAAAGACTGATGAATGATAAAAAGAAAAAATCTTGACGCCATAAAAGCAGACTAAATTGATATGAAGGCATATATACAGATGCTGCAGTTCATATCGTCATACTGTTAAATACGTTGTATGTGTAATCGTTTGATAACTTCAATTTCACAACAAGATGTTATCTTAACTGCCATACTGCAGTTGGGTAAAATACACAGATTGTCCTATTATTTTGCTTAGTTCTTTGGATAGAAGTTCGTGTAACGTGACTCCAGTATGACGATAGATCCAGGTATTTGATGTTGAAAAGTCGTATCTTTTAGGACCACTACAAAACAATTGTCATTTTTATTAAAGGAGAGAAACAGCTACTCTGCAAAACTTAGTCACTACGATTAGCCTACCTTGTCGGTGATGAAAGCCAAATCTGTCTGTTTGGTGTTTGTTTGTTGATAACATATGTTCCATGAGTACCTCAAAGATAAACAACAAGTTTTTATGACTTCAAATTGTACAACTTCCAGAGATTAGTAAAGTTTTCGTGGTTAAGAACGTTTTTAGTTAAGCATTAACTTTTTAACGTCATTTTCATGCGCTTTAAACATGGTATAAATAAGACATTTATAACTGGAAAGTAAGCATGCAGTTGTATTTTATCTTGTACGTGTTATAGAATTTTAACATGGTTTAGATTTAGTCAGGATCATTTCAGTAAGTCGTCAATGATTCACAGTTGCAACGATCACATGAATTTGTAAAACTAGGTACCATACCTCCCAGTCGAATTGTCAGCACACCATCCTGAAAAAATAATGCTAAAATGACCTCATAAACAACTATAGGAATCGTTCATTTGAATAATGAAAGATGTACACTATGTTTTCACAGGCTTATGCAAAGAGAGCTGATCAGTGACTCGGGAGTTCTCATAAAAGTCTCCGACGTATGCATAAGCCAATGTATACACAAAAAAATCTTATAAAATAACAATAATGCAAAACAGATAAATTCTAAACAAACGCTTAAACTTTTCCTCTTATATGTATTCATGATTGATTTGCAAATTCTCTTTGCTTGATTTAATTGATTAAGCTCAGATCGGTTTGCTCAAGCTTATGCAAACATGCAAAATGCAAATTTCAGCTATAGGCCAATCAGCGTACGCGTTTCATTTTTTTTAATTTATCAAAATTATGTAAACGACAAACCGCATATTCTATGTCGTAATCTTGATCAAAATGCCCATCTTCTCCCAATTCTTCAAAATACTCCATCAACGCGTGAAGTGTTTCATCAGAAATAGCGTGAAACGCGATCTCATCAAGTTTCCTAGCGAAGATTACATCATTATTAAACAATGCTTCAAGGTGAATTACTCACATTATGTTTGAAATGTCATTGGCAATTTGCCTTAGCTTTGTTGTACAATAATATCGTCCACTGTTAAATAGTAAGTCCCCGTCTATCCACTGCATATTTGATCTCAATTTGCACGTCCCAGCCATGAAAATTTGAAATGTTCGATGCCAAAGCTAAAATTTGCAAATTATTATTATATTTAATCAGGATACCCATGCCTCTGAAGAGTTTTTCAACAAGGCGATGAATAAGATACCATAAATCCTATATGTAGTGAAATAAGTGAATTATCAAAAAAATAATTATCGTGAATTATCATCAAATAATTTCATACTAAATTGAATTATTCGTCAACAGTTTTCACTTAAAAATCACGTAGTTACCTTTGACCTGCTCCTTTCAAAAAATCCTCGGAAAAATACCGATTTACACCACATTTCACTAATGGATCGATTTAAAGCTCTTCGACTGCTTACTGACGCCATTTTGAATTTACAGGTACGAGTGTCCATGACGTCATGCACCGTGAGCAAACATCATCTGTGACATTTATCGAGGTATGTATCAAGTTTTCACTGACAAATGTATATTAAATATCAAACAGAGGTATCCCGCAAAAAAGCTTTATTAATAGTTCAGCTATTTGTAAATGATTACTATTACGAGAAATTTATGAGTATGGGCACTAAGTCCAAAACTAAATCGGATTTACTTCATATCTCGCTTGAATTCGTTCTTGAGTACAGCTTATTCCTTAAACTGCCACTCTTGTCTGCACATCGGGCATAACTGTTGCATCTGCTGCGATTCTAACCATTTCAAGATGCAGTGCATATGAAAAACATGAGAACATTGCCCCCATACTGTGAAGAGATATAAAAAGATATATAAAATAAAAAGAATGATAGCACAGCGCTATAACCAACAACTACAAACAATAACGACCTTATCTAACAACATTTGTTGGTTATAGCGCAGTGCTATCATTCTTTTTGTCTAATAACATTCCAACTATTTAACCTTGTAATATATAAAATACCTAAAAGTCAACATCCATGACATTAGTTGCCATGGGTGTATTTATAGTACGTCACTTTGTCCTGATTGGACAAGTGTTTGCGTGGCATTGAAACAAAAGAAAACTTTGGGGGGCTGACCTAAAGAAAATTATGTTTACTTGGGAGAAATAAAACCAACGGTAACGAAGTAAAAATTATAAGACAAAATACGACTAAGTTTATATATTTTCGTTTTCGTCCATTCGGCAAGAGTTGAAATTTGCTATTTCTTGATTTTCATTACGTGTATTGCAGTATATATTAAGTATATTAGGTATATTATAAATTGCAAAGAATGTGGTTACCCAGGCAAATAATTACGTCAATGAAAGACGTTTTGCTATGTATTCGCGAATTTGGGTTTTCCTATTAATATGGAAGATAAATTGTCGAACATTTACTCACAAAATGTATCTTACCAAGAACTATGGATTATTGCTCCTGTTTACATTATTAATCACATTCATGGCACTTCAATTAAATCATCCGATGTGGTTTAGACACTTTCGTAGCGACGCTACTTTGAGTAGACATTGTGTGCCTGCTGTGGTTCAACACGACATGTTAAAGTTGGCCTACGATGTTCATTTGATACTGAAAACTTGAATGTTACGCATTTTCTTCTATACGGATCGTTATGGGGTGCGTTGCGCATTAATAAACCACTACCTTGGGATAACGACGTTGATTTAGGAATGATTGCAGATGGGAGATTCGTACAACTGGCAGAGAACGAATTTCTCAAGATGTTTCAAGAGAAAGGTATTAAAGTTACGAACAATATGCGACAGAAGTCAAGTTTTAAATTCGATCGAGATAATGGGGCTGTAGATTTAATGATATACTATGATTATGGCGAGTGGATGAAAAGACAAGGATGGGAATCATGGCTGCTCACCATACATTACAATCTACATCATACCTTTCCAAAAAAATTGATAGAAGATAAGCCATTGCCGCAAACAAAGTTTGGATGGTTTATGATGCCAATACCAAGGCATGGTATCGAAATTATGAAGCATATGTATCGGTATGACTGGTGGATTACACCCAAACAAGAATCCTGCTAACTGGTTTCTAAGACATCGTCATCATCCACGGTCGTTGATCTTTCAAGCGTCAAACGTGTGCGTTCCGCGCATAAATTCTTAAACTTATTTATCCCTTGAACAGTTTTGATCTCAAATCAAAAACTGAGATGGTAGCAGTATCACTGAGTATAGTTCTACCTTTACTTTGTAAATAGGTGACATTAACGTAACGCAAACATCCCTTATCGAAGGTAACGACGAGAGATTTTTTGCTCACGTTATTACAATTCTGACGCAACAATTAAATTGAAAGTTTTAGTTTGTCATTTGTAGTGTTGGCATTGGCAGTGCATCTGTTTATTGTCAAATATGTAACACAAAATGTAAATATGTCAACAGCAAAAGTAACTGACTAATATAAGTATGCTATATGCTTTGATATTGGGCAAAAAATAACGTTAAATACATGGTTCTACCATTCAGGTAAGATGTACATATGAAGTAAGTTAATTTGTAGCAGGGCTTTGTTAAGTTGGATTAAAACCTTAACACTGTTTGGCAACAACCTGCCAAGTGGCAACTGACAACGCCCTTCTTATGCCTTAAAAATGCCCCCAGTCAGTCACAATGAGATCATAAGGTGTTGAGAATGAATAACATTGCATATAAGAACAAAAAAAAATGGACCGTACACTTTGATCAATGATGTTATGACATAAGATAAAATTACCTAGTGGACAATCATCTCCTGGCATTCTACAATCAGGACAACATCCATCAAATGGCATCCGACATATACCACAATTCTCATCATTTGCCATCCAATGCCAGCTTGCTACTCCTGTCCATCTGAGAGAAAATCATGCATTCTCACAACATATAAAATAGACTTTACTTGCTCAAGTTGCATATTTTCATAATTAACTTATAACCACAATTAGTTCACCGATAATGTAATGTGTAGAGTCTGTCAAATGACAAGCAACTTGCCTAAGAACACAACCTACACATAATTCCATTTACTGGTGACTCAAATTCATGTTTTACTAAATTATCAAGGTTCCAACAGATGATTACTTTTCTTATACATCTCTTGGGGGGTGGGAGTTATAGTAAAAAGAATGTGGTCTTATAATAAACATAGTATGGAATGTAATTACTTACTCTAAAAGAGAAGATTCCAATAGCACATAAAAAATAGAAAAACGTTAGAGCTTATTTGCTATGATGCGATCAGCTATACTGTAATACTTATAAATCATAATACACACAACATGATAGACAGAAACACAAAAAATCTTAAGGGATGAAATATTTTGTATGAGAAGGAATACATTGGGACGTGTTTGCATGCAAAAAATATTTTCAATAAGTCAGGATTATTGTAAATAAAACTTACTTTTATCTTTACCTTCATCTTGAATTTTGAAATAGATTTTCATATAGCGCAATACTTCATGTACATTAAATATAGTGCGTCTTAATTATGATTTGAATTAATTATGACTGTAATCGTAACAGATCAAACGAGATTTAAACCTTTAAGAAAATTCGTAAAAACATATATTTGCAATTCGTAGTGTTTTGTAATGTCATTCAAAACACAAAGTATAAATGCAAGATCCCCTAGTTTCTCCTCTTCAGACTGACCCTTAAATTTATGCTAGTTTTGAAATTTGAATAACAGGTTCGGCATCAAATTGCATGCAGCGTTACTAACGACAATGGTAACGACTAAACAATAATGGCAATAAGATGGTGGTTGTTCTTCTTCGCCAATTCTCAACTCGTTCAACATACTTTGTCAGTAAATGCAGCGTTTCAGAAACAAGTTGACGCCGTGCCTTCGTGTGGCGTGGGGGAAAGCGAACTTTTCTACCACATATCTCAAGCGACGCTGTTACCATTTAGACGGAATATCTCGACATGTAATCAGAATGTTACCGACTTTGCATACCCACCCGAAGCGATCGTAGATGAAAACTACGCAACATTATGGCAAGCTGAAGGTGGCAAAGATAAGGCAGTCATTACAATCGATCTTACCGGCATCATTCAAAAGGTATATATGGCTTGATTTATTTTCATGATTGATGGTTGCTGATTATTTGCGTCGTTAGCAACCAAGAGCTTGTAGTCGTTTAAACATGATATAATTTCGTTGCAATTTTGAAAGTGTAAACGTGGTCAAGAAAAGAATGCACTTGTCGATATCATTATAACAACACTTAGCTAGTGTTAATAAACCAATTTAGTTACGAGAGATCGACCGATACATGGCAAGAAGACTACTTGAGAAAAACTGTGTGTTAATGCAGTCGAACGTCTACTTAGTATGGTCAACTTAGGAAGTGGCATCTTTTGTGCACGGACATTGTCCGCTTACAGGATGTTAGACGACCGTACAAGACTATCCCTTTGCAACAAACTTAGATGAAATATTTCCGACCCTATTTGTACACAATGTTTTTAACTTGAATATGAAGAATGCAGCATTTTATATTGTTTAAATTTGTTTTACCTTCAACACATGCATCATTTTATGTATTCAATGTTTTTTTCGTTTTTCCTTTCAGTTTTACTTCGTCAAATCCATCACGATATCTTTTGGTGATTACTTCCGTCCAGGACAGATTGCGTTCTACAAAAAAACAGGCAATAATTCGTTCACACCGTGGCACTTTTTAGTCACTGAACAAGAACAATGTGACGAAGTGTATGGCAAGCCTTACAAAACGATACCAGCCACAAATGATGATGTGTTATGTACAATATACCAGACTGGTGCATTTGAAACCAATGAAAACGTAAGTTATTAAAGATGAAGTTGATTTGTGTTGAAGAAAGCTTCAGCGAATAACCCTTCAGATATTTTGAAGCAGTTTTATTGTAAAAAAACTGTGTTGTAGTGTTGTATAATTAAGACTCAGAAGATAAAAAGTCTTATATCAATACATATAGTTCAAGAATTTAGTTTAATGTTCTTAACTTTATTTCACTTTTGTATTTGTGTATGGATGTAGGTTACTATTGGTTTAGAAGGAGGTCGTGGAACGATCATTCTAAATGGCGATGATACACGTCTCAACACTGTCCTTTTGGTGAGTCTTTCACCGTATGATATAATATAATGATTGATATAATTTTGATTGTAATGATTTGCTTCGACTGTCAAAGGACTGGATGAACGCCACTCAAGTAGAATTGCGATTTTCTGAGTTAAGATTTTATCCTGATCGTTTGGCCGACCGATGGGTTCGTTTCATAATGTGTATATTTCTGAGTTTATTCTACTCAAGTGTACCTTTAGTTATATGTTCATTTTCTGCTTAGCGTCATTACAGTGTTCGCGAGATCACCGTGGAAGGATATTGTCATTGTAACGGTCATGCAGATGGCATTCATTGTCCTTACAATCATGCCCTCCTCGACAGGCAATGTATATGTCAAGAAGGGACCTGTGGGGATCAATGTGGGTTTTGTTGTCCCGCTTACAACCAGTATCCGTATAAAACCGGCAGGCTGGGTCCGTTTACGGCTGACAAAAGTGCAGCATGCGAAAGTAGGTTTATAAATTATTGAAAACAATACGTAGGGGGTTCTGTTGCATGTACAACATCAATAACTAGGTATTTCTATTTACAAGTGTCAACATTCATTTGCCATTTCTATTGTCTTTTACCTAGAGTGCAACTGTTACAATCACTCTGATGTTTGTGTATATAACGAGACAATCGCGAAGAATAATTGTACGTATGAAAAAAATGCTACTAATGATGAATGCAGCATGAACATCAATGGTTTATATCGTGGCGGAGGTGTTTGTGTTGGTTGTAAGGTATCTACTTTTTAATTTCTTGATCTAATATTTACATTGTGGCTAAAGACAATACGTGTGAAGGAGCTACCAAGATGTGGTGTTGATCTTGTCTTCTTTTTTCTTCTTTTTTTTTGTTTATCAGGATAACACCGAAGGAACCAATTGTCAACGATGCATAACAAAATTTTACCGTAAAAAAGGAAAAAATCACGCGGAGAAAGATGCTTGTCGACGTAAGTGGCAGATGCAACGTAAAATATAAAATAACTTAGTTAAAATCGTTTAAAAAGTATACATTCAAAATGTTTTTCGAATTTTAAACACCCCTTTTCCCTTTGTACACTAATGTGCATTATCAGACAATTCTTCCCCTTTGTACACAAATTTACTACGAGTCCGCTCAAAAGTAAGCATTGATCATACACACTCCCTTCCTTCTTTGCAATTCACTAATTGGACGATCCTTCAAGTTATAATGCTTATTTAGCTTGTAACTGCTTTGTAAATGGCACGAGCAACTCAACAAAAAATGGCGTTGAATATTTGGACTGTGTTCGAGACGAAGAAGAATCCATTGACATTGGTGATTTGGTTAGTGGTGCTTTACTAACTTTGAGTGTTTTTAATATCATCCCATTAGTCCGTATTCTGTACATCAGAAAACAGTTTTTTCTGCCTCGCCCCCCCCCCCGCTCCTCTGGCACTAAAATCTTTTAGCATGTATCTATAGATTTTTACTCTTGTTAGGCTCCTGGTCAATGTCTATGCAAGAACAAGACAACTGGATTACAATGTGATCGCTGTATTGATGGATATTATAACTTAACTGGTGACAATCCTCAGGGATGTTTAGGTATGTATGCCCGTCTGAAGAGGAAAGTGAATTATATTCGTGTGCTTTCACTTTTGAATACCATGATCGTATGATTAGTATTAATTAATCACATTCTTCGAATTATTTCTTGGCTGATGAGAGACTGTTAAAGACACTTATATTTTAAGGATTGTTCGTTGGCTCCATATTCTAGCTGTATTTATTTATAATAGCATGTCTATGTACAACTGACGGAACAGTGAATGGCTCCATCAATTGCAATAATGATGGCGTGTGTACATGTAAACCGCTGGTGCTCGGTAAGAAATGCAGCCTTTGTCGAAAGGGCACTTTTTATTTGGCATCTGACAACCAGAATGGCTGTACTGAATGCATGTGTAGTAACATCACTAAGAATTGCACCAGTAGCACGATGTACCGTATTAAGGTAAGTTACACATGCAACGAAATGTTAGGTTGTAGACTGGACCTTGTAGATACCGTTTACATGTAATACATTTGGATTACTTATTAGATTAAGTATGGTTTGGTTGGTTGGAATGCGTCTTCAGGTTTTGATGGATATGTTTACCGCAATATTATGAATATTAAGGTGTGTAAGTTTGAGAATCAAATAGATTTTTGTGACGATATAGGATTTATAAACTGTTTTATGTAGGATGTGATAGATGGTCGTATAGTTGACATGATGTCTGTCAATATCAGCGGTGGACAATCTTTATTCTGGAGAACACAAAATAATTATTTTAAAGGAAAGAGTCTGGTATGATGAATCGATATAACGCCACAATGGAAGGCTTGCTAATTCTGTATAGTGTTTTAGGTCACATCTTACGGTGGCTATATAAGTTTTGCGAGAAAAGTTTCTTCACGTGACAACAGCTCTCTATCTCCTGATATTTTTATATCGATTGAGGTAGATGTTCGTTGTATTTTTAATTTTTGGATCTTGTGGCTGTAGATTGCGTTTTTTGTTCTAGGAACCACGAAACATTTGCATTAAGGCTAATCTACCCCCAGTCAACTCTTCAGCACAAAGTCCTGAACTGGTATCCATAAAAATGGTTGAGGTTAGAATTTTTTGCCCCAAAATTATAAAGCTTTTTTATTTCTATACTTTTCGTTTTTGGAACAATTCCTTATGATAATTTTTTCGATGATTAATAGTCCGTTTGGAGACATTGCAGTACGAATAACGTCGTCGATCGGCAGACATTCATGCTTGTTCTCTCAAGACCTGGAAGAATGTGGATTGCAGGCTCTTATTTTCCATTTGGAGTTGGAGTATATCAGACAAGGTTTCTATCAATTGAAATATCTTGTCGTCACTTTTTTTCTAATATATGAAGATAGGATGATGTTGTCGATTGTAATTATTTAATACATGCATAATCCTGTTGTTTCCTTATTCGTTTTGTCATAATTTCTTTTTATTATTGTTCAGTTTCGGTGAGCTTTATATCAGTGGGATTTCTAACGTCTCAGATGAAGAAAGTATTATTGCACGTGATGTCGAGAAGTGTTTTTGTAGTGAGGCTTATAAGGGAATATCTTGCGAGGTGAGTTGGCAGTGTAAGCTCGCGTGTGTGAGTTATCCATATATATATCTCAACAGCGTGATGTAGTTTTACATTAGTTAGTTAACAAATAAAAATATTGATATTTGATTATATTAAACTGTTCTTACAGCGATGTGCTCGAGGATATCGTCGAGTTAATGTTAAAGATCATCCTTTCTTTGGGGAATGTATTCCTTGCACCTGCCATGGTCATACATTAGACTGTGATCCAGACACAGGAAGATGTCTGGTAAGCTTTGAATGACTACAGTCGTTTTCAATATTTTTGTTGTCAATAATACAATCCTCCCTCACAGGATTGTCAACACAACACAACTGGCTTTAACTGTGCAGAATGCCGAGCTGGTTTTTATGGAAACGCGAGAAATGGAACTGCAAACGATTGCAACAAATGTCCTTGTGAATCACCAAAAACAACAACGTGAGTTTTTTGCGATGTATTACTTCGTTACATCGGTAATACAACAAGTAAGCCTCTACAACTTAAACATCCATAATTTATAGAGATCTTTGCGTTATGCTGCCGAATGGATCCGCTCAATGTCTGAACTGTTCACAAGGTTATGAAAAAAATCTGGAATGCAACAGGTATTTTGTAATTCGTTGCTAAGATTTAATTTTCTCGTTTATCGACATTTCTAATTAATGACAAGATCACCAATGTGACGGGTGGATCCAGTTAATGCTTATTAAATTCAACCTGGCAGCATTAAGAAAAATGACCGTAATTTTTCTATAGATGCGAACTTGGTTATTTTGGGCGGCCCTTTTTGGATGGTGGTAAATGCAGGTTATGTCAATGTAATAACAACTCTGATGTTTGTAATCTCGAGACTGGTAATTGTATGGCATATTGTAATAACAACTCTACTGGTTGGCATTGCGAGTACTGTGAAAACGGTACTTATGGTGATGCCACCAAGCAACAATGTCGTGGTACGTTTATGGTAACTTTTCTACTTTCGTGGTACATTGTTTTTCGAGTAATATTAAACATAAGTTATAATCATTGCAGGATGCACATGTGACAGTACCGGTAGCTACAACATTCCTTGTAACATTACCACTGGTTTTTGTCACTGCAAGCCAAATGTTCGTGGATTCAATTGCTCAGAGTGTGAAGTAAGAGAATCTTTTAACCCTTGGAATGGTTCTACAGCTAAGTGGCAAGAGTTAAAATTTAAGAATGATTTTTTCATTTTTCGTAGGATAATTCCTATGGATTCAATTCCAGTGGTTGTACACAGTGTCATTGTAATAAATTTGGATCCAAGAACTTACAATGCAATGACAACGGTGTTTGCGATTGTAAGAACCACACTCATGGTGCAAAATGTGATATGTGCATGGATTATTTTTACGGCTTACCTAATGCAACTTGTCAAGGTTAGGACATTAATGCTTTATTTTTAGGTCATGTCAATATGATTAATGCAGTTCTTGTAATATTTTTTGTAGACTGTGCGTGCAACGTAACTGGATCTAACAACACAATATGTAATCACGTATCAGGAATTTGTTTGTGTAAATCTGGGATTGAAGGACGGCAATGTGATCGTTGTAAAAAACAACATAAAGATTTTTCTGACTCTGGCTGTGAACGTACGTATGCGTGATTTCGTATGCGTGTTATGCAGAAATATGCAAATTTTATGTGATGTTGTGAATGAATGAACGTACGGATGAACGAACAAATAAATGAATGAACTTAATTTCAACATGCTTAAAACGTCAGTTATTTGTTAGTTCAACATATACTGTGTATGTACGTTAACGTTTCTTTGCTGTAGCATGTCCGGCTTGCACAATGAAACTGCAAGGTATTATGGATGATGCAACTACGTCTTTGATGATTTCAAAACACGAAGCAGATCAGGCTAACGAGTCTATCGATTATTTCACTGAACTGGAAAATCTTGAAGCAAAAATACCTGGCATACACGTGAGAAAACATGAGATATAAGCTTGTGGTATTTTAGTGCACGTTCATTTAATCAACTCTTCATTAATGTTTAGAAGCTTCAAGTAAAGCACACAGCTATGATAGAAAATCTGGAGCAATATCGTAATACCCTGACTAACACGACCCTTTTGACTACTATCACGTATCTGGAACTAAGGGTACGATGAAAAGATTTGTTTAGAGATACTGCGATGATTCGACTTTAAAAGCCATGAATATCAATTAAGTTACCTTCTTTTCAGACTTCATGCGTCTGTTAATTGACAAATTATAACATTTAGTGAAATACAAATGTATTTTCTTATCGAATTTCGACTTAAGGTTGGCTTAATGAACTGTGTTATTTTCTCCTTTACCTTAATTTATGCATCAATTCAATTATAATATTTTTTACATAAAGGAACTGTGTGATCTTATTTTTAAACTTCGTGCATCTTCTTGATGACAGTTGGAGTATTTTTTCCTCATACAATTTATTTTCTTATCATATTTTGCTGAGCTCAAGAAATTTACATTATATAGGAGCAAACGTTGAAATCAGAAGTCAAATCTCTTGATAATCATTTGAAATCGGAGTTGTTGAGAATTGGAAATATCTCGAACCAAACAAAACAGAGTTTCGAGTTTTCTGATGGTAGGGTACTTTATGCATTTAAATAAATAAAAAAGTTATGAAAAAATATTTTTGCTGAGTTGGATTAAGTATACACATGCAATATCCATTTTTTCTTTGTAGATGTTAAGAGAAGATCACTGAGTATCGTTGATAAGTTATATTATTTAACTAATGAAAGCAATGTAATCAACGAATCATCATCAAATGCTTCGAGATACATACTTCATAGCATCCATGACGCAAAACAACAAACATTACGTGCAAAAAATTTGACGAAAAAAGTGAAAATGATCTCTAACATGACTGCGAATTTCGGAATGTTACTGATGAATCAAACCAAAGTCATTAAAGGAAGATTTGAGGTTTTTGCTCAACTGTACGATGAATTAAATCGCACTCATGAGGAATTGAAAAAGAAACAAGAACAACTGGAGAGGACGAATAATGATTTAAAATCACTTGAGGTAATGAAGTGTCAACGGATGCATTCCCATATGTATAGTTGTTTCTTCTTGTTGAATCCATTGTTGAATCACAAGGGAGAGTACATTAAAACAATATAGTTTGTTGTGTAGTGTTGCTGATTTTCATGGCAAATTATTGTTGATAAATAACATTGAGTTCACTAAACGTAATTATGCTATAATACCATATTATTCCACTACACGTTCTCCATTAAAATTTTTTTTTTATTTTCTTTTTAGATTTTGACAATGAAAACGAATGCGACCATTGAGAATATTGCTTTATATATAAGAAAAACAACGCTGTTTATTGAGCAGAGTAACACCTCTATTGTAGAGGGTACACAAAATTATCTGGTATATTTGGAAAACATCGCTCCAAGTATCTTACTTCCTTTTCCTGATATCTAAAACGTAACTTTTTTTGATCTCTTATAGAATATAACAGACACAGGATTACCTAAGCTCAATAGGGATTTGAAAACTTTGAAGATGGCTATAGAACATGTTAATATATCATACTGGATTACTAAAGGCCTGCTGTATAACGCTAGTCTTCATGCTGAGAACTTAACAGCCCTGGCAGATTTGTTGAAACGGTAATTCAATGGATAATTTTTCATGAAGATGATAATATTGGTAGATGCATGAGCAAGGGATGTTTTGTTTGATTGTAAAATCAGTGATTTTTATGATTTGCAATCAAGAGTCAATCTGAAGATATTTTTCTGTATCGTTTAGGAATTTCGAGAGAGCTAAACGTCATGGAGAGAATGCACTGTCAGCAATAAATGATTATGAAAAAACAACAGAGACAGTCAACGATGCCATCAAAACTTCCATCGATGCCAGTAGAGCTGTGAATGAATCCATTCAACGTATCCAGAATTTGACAAACACTGACAAAAGCTTTCTCGTACGAGCTTCAGAATGTAGAAACGCAAGCATTGCCTTGCTTAACGAGACTAAAAGTAGAAACATAAATGTAACAGAATTGAGTGATATCCTTTCAAAAACACGTCATCTTTTCAGCTCTGCCAACCATACCTGCTACAATGTGGCTAAATACACGAGTATATTTGAAGCCAAACGAACAATGATAATCTATTTTGCTGCAAGTGAAGGTCCTGTGATCAATAACTCTCTTCAAAATGCCATCTTAAACGTTGAGAGGACAAGAAAAATATCTGACAACATTGAACTGCAGTCCATTGATTTGAAGAAGAGATTGGCTGTTGCCAATAAGACTTTACGCGTCATCGACAATTACATTTTCAATTCGACACGATTGATGAACGATATTTCTTTGACAAACAATCAAACGCAACTAATGTTAGCAAATATATCAAGAAGTGTTAACTTGACTAAGAACATAAAGCGTGAAAACGACCTAGCCGAAATTGCACTGCGCAACAAGACTGCCATCTTGGAAGAGAAGCTGAAGGAGGCAAAAGAGAAGGTGGCCCGATTCCGTCTTGCAATGAGATTACGTGGCAATACCTCGGTGAAATATCGCCCTACTACTAGAATGTTAACCAATCCATTATTGAACATTATCTCACTTGACTTCAAGACGAACGAATCCAGTGGTCTTCTTCTGTACATGTCATCTAATTCCAACAACACTGATCAGAGTCTTTCATTGAAACTAGTTATTAATCGTGTTCGTTTTACATACAATCTTGCTTCCGCGCCAGTTGTGATAACAAATTGGGAAGTTCCAATCTTACATGATACTTGGTTTCGTGTATATGCCACACGGTATGGAGAGGAAGCACGATTGACCGTCACAAATTTACACAACAACTTCTCCAGAACATATGAAGGACCTTCGAAGAAATTCCTGAATGCTTCATTGCCTTTTGATATGAATAGTGTGGTGCTCCTTGGTGGAGTTCCTCCGACAATTGAGCAATTCAACTCAACGAAGCGATTTTTTGATGGTGACTTGGATAATCTTGTGTTAAACGAAGATCCAGTCTCGCTATGGAAACCGGCAGCTGTAGAGGGTGTGCGAAGATTTGCTCCTACAAGGTACGATAAAATAATCCCATTTAAAACATTTATATTTTTGGTATGAAGAAAACAAATATATGAGTAAGAACATTTAGTATTTCATAAATACCGTCAAATGTTGACAGAACTTTCAGCGTGTAAAAACGTGCACTGATAAAATTATGGCTCTTTGTAGAGTGCAACCTGTTGTAGTCGGATTTTGTGGTACATTTCATGGAAATGGATTTGTCAAGCAAATTGCTGGAGATTTTGAAACAAGAGTGAATTCCAGTTTTCTTTTCAATTTCGAACGTTTTTCAAGAACGCCTTGCTTTTGTATGTTGAAGGCAGCAGCAATAATTTCATCTACAGTCTTTCTTTGAATAATGGCGCTGTTTTATTTCGCTACAACAACACTGTGCTTCGTAGCGATCGATCCGAGTACGATGATGGTAAATGGCATAATGTCAAAGTGTCGAGAACATTGAAAAATGCCTCTCTTCTTGTAACATCACTGAACAATGATGGGATAAATGATGACTATGTTACCCATAGTGGAGTAATGCCCACATATTTGCCCAATGCTCATTATGTCTATTTTGGTGGGAACAAAGAATCGAGGTGAGAAAAATTGCCTTGAACTAGAAAAAATTAGTAAATCATACATGGATTATAAATAACCTATTTCATTTTTTTGGTAACTCTAAACATCAATTTTACGTGTGCATATTTTCTTAGGAACCATTTTGCTGGCGGTCTAAAGCACATCTCGCTTAGTTCATCTGTTTACAATACATTGAAAAGCAGAAGTTTAGATGATAAAAATTTCACAGCGGAATCTATTGGAGTCAATTTAAATAGCTGTCTGCAACAGGTGACCTGGTCATTTCTAATAGTAAATAGTTGACTATACCGGAGTGCATGGTGATTAAAAGAATTTTATGTAAATGATCAAATAATTTTTGTTCCTTTTTGTGAAGGTTGAAAGTGGTCTCCATTACTTCAATGGTTACTCAGCAGTAAACATATCAACAATGCAGTCCCTTGCAATTATATTTAAAACAAACCAACCCAGTGGTCTTTTAGCTTATTCCTATAACCAGGTAACTGCAAATCTGAATACAAATATTTCAGGTGTCAACTTTTAAAATTGCTTTATCCTTTCCTAGAATATATATTTATATGTTGCTTTGTTCCATGGTAATATATTTATGGTCACTGGAAACGCAAGTAGCAAGTTTGTGCCTCTTCAAACAAGTACTGAGACATTAAACGATGGGGCTTTTCACACAGTCTCTATCGAAGTCAAGACTTCCAGGTATGCATGCCGTTTTTTCTTGCAGTCCCCGCCTTGTGTAAAGTAATGTGTCGAATGTTTAAATGATAAGATACATTTTAACATACTGGGTTTTCCTTCAGAATTGAATTGCATGTAGATGGAAGGAACTGGGGATCACGTGATGTGTATGAAATTGGTGCTTTGGCTCGAATCTATATTGCAGGTGTTCCGTCCAAACCTTCAATACTTGATAAGATGCCTATACTATCGTCGTTCGAAGGAGACATTAAAAGGGTACTGATCAATGGTTTAGAAATTCTTAATGGAAGGTAAGTGTTATATTAATACCAAAATCTTCAGTAAAGCCAATAAACCTTTTCTTATTACTTTAACTCATGAATGCGTGTAAATTAAGCAATGTTACAAGTTGGTATTTGCTTCTTTTAGTTCCTCCCGTGTATTCACCTCAGCTGAAAGTGTCGGTGTTTCTGCTGCTGGTGTGTCGGTGGCCACAATCGTCGTTCCCACTGACTTACCCACAAATACACCCGCTCCACCGACGTGCGGAGCGAGGTACCCTGAAAAAGTTTTCTCTGAGAAACACAATGAGATACATCTTTCCGGCATAGATAGTGCAATCGCACTTAATTTGAATAGAAGTCTTATCAGCGAAATGGCTGTAAGGTGAGATTTCCATGGTTTAACTCTACCAACACTGTGATTGTAATTCCAATTGATATGCATTGTAGTATTATTCACGATTTTGCGATAAGGAATCATCCAATCTCTGATACGGTCATTCACATTTCCTAATTCAATGCTCGTAATTAAGTATGATTGCTTTCTATAATCATTTATGATACATCTTACCGATTTCAATATTCGTCTTTCAGCTCTGTGATATCCATAGAGTTTCGAGCACTTGCTCCAAATGGCGTGTTATTCGTGGTGGCAGACAATCGTACTACACAGTTTGTATCCTTAGAGTTAGTAGACGGAAATCTTGTTTATCGGTTCAACACTGGAAGTGGACTAGTGCGAATGAGAACGACTGGAACGTACTCTTTTGGAGGTATTTGGTACAAGGTGAGTATGAGTATAATGTTGGAACTAGAAGCAGGAAGATAAGTGTTAAATGAGAAATTTCCTCAGGTTGATCTTCTTCGTATAATGCATTTTGGAGCGATGGTGGTGAGACAAACCAAAGAGTATCATAAAACGCAACTGATGGTCCGAATGACGAGAAGCTGACTGTTAATCATGTATTCATTGGTGGTGTCAATCCTCACATTATAAACACATCCGTACTAGAGGTTAGTACTGTATGTCTCTACTACTTTACTCACCGAAGCAAGAATAAAGTTCGATAGTTTCAAGTGGTTTCGATTATTACAACACGCTTGAATGTTATGAGATTTTGCCATGGAAACGTCAGAGCCTTTGGCAATATACAACGATTGGGGCGGGGCGGGGTGAAAATCCAAGTCACAAGTTCTTAAGTGAATCGAGAACAAATTGGGGCATGTCACATTTCCCCAACAAGTATGGTGAGGGTTAGGGAAAAGTTTGCTGCAGCCTGACACACCTCCCACGGGCACAGGTCTGCACAAACTGTGCAAGGCCTCATCAACAGAAATGGTTTTCTTATATAGAATCCGGATGCTCCTAGTTTTTTTGGATGTATTCGAGACGTGGAAATTGAAACAAAATTCTCCAGCCAAAAGTTCAATCTGAGGTTAGTCATTTTACAGCTATTATGGAGCAATGAACCTCCATTGAAAGTCGAGGTTAGAAACTGACTACATCGATAAAATCGTTTTCTCTCATACAGTGGGGATATTATACGGTCTTTGTCGAGAAATCCAGGCCATCCGGGTCAATGCTATGATTATGTACAACCTCAAGTCAGTTTTGATGGTGATGGATTTGCTACTCTCAGTGAGTTTATAGCAGTTAATGATTGAAATTTTTACAGTAAATATGCACCGTTACAGTTTGAGTTTAGTGTACACGTTTAAGCAGATTGAAGTGGATTAAATCAGAGAAATATCCGTTGACATGTCGTTGAAAATCGTCAATCACTATTATTGTTTTACAGGTGGTAAATATGACCTGTCTCCTGGAAGTGAGTTGAGCATAACATTTCGGACGACAAAGAGAAACGGTTTGTTGTTCTATGCGACAAATGAGAATTCAACTCAGTCTTTGACGATAAAACAAGTGAATGGACAGGTAAGCGTTCTTACCTGCATACATAACGCATTTTACGATGTATACATTCATATGACGTCATGCGGTCATGTTGGTTGGTAGTTTAATTCAATGCTCCGATGTTGAACTGCACATGAATCCACACCAAGGTTCTAGCAGTACGGCAGATAGTGCGTTGTTGTCAACTGTTGTTTCCTCTATCATTGCAGATGCACGTGTTATACGTCGACAACGTTGTCACAAGCATAGTGAAATGGATCGACCCATCTCTCAAGGATCTCAGTAATGTTAACAGTTCATACGCTCTCTGTAATAACGTATATCATACGGTCAATGTTAGACGACGAAATAGAGTGTTAGAGCTGCGCCTGGATAGGGATTCTGTAGTATCAACTAATATAACAGAAAATGTTTTTATTGCTACAGTTCATATCGGTGGTGTACCAGGTAAGATTCTCTTTCATATAGTTATGATAATTTTTACTTTCTTCTTTCGATATTTTGCGGAAGGATTTGAAAAATGAAAAATGAATTTTCGATTAACTATCTACGACCTAAAATTTGCAAAATCTTATCATAATTTAGGATGCATGTGAGGTCTTGAATACAAATTACTTTGTATTTTTCTTAAGATGGAGACGTAGATACTCAACATTTTGCTGGTTGCATTCAAAGTATACGTATTAATACGCATGTGGTGGACATGAAACACGGTGTTTTTAATAGCACACGTATGGAGTATGGTTGTCGAGCTCCAATAAAACCACAAGAGACTTACGCTGGACTGACATTGTTCAGAGTGCAACTATAATCATAAATAACAATACGCAACAAAGTGTGTGTATTTTGGAGTGTAAGTACGCAACTGTCGAAAACACATTCACAAGCCTTGTACATATTTTGTCATGATCACATCAATTTACATCAAACATTACGAAGATAATTATTACGTGTGAGTCAATTAATAATCATTCTATGTACGCCTTGATACTATTTACAATTGACTTTTTTGTTATTTGAAATAAGGAATTACCATTACTACATACTATGCAACATAGTCAAAACATTGTTGGGACATGACGCTGTGAGCTTCTTGTACGTTTTTCTTCGCCATTTAGACCAGTTGCTTGTGCCACTTCTTCGAGAAAACTGCAACGCAAATGTCAATATTATCGACATTAGTTAGATTCGACAATATACTAAAAACTGAATCACCACCTAACCTTTTACAATTATGTATTGTTGTGCCAGCAATGATGACTCTTACACCAGGAACTGTTGTATTCAAGTTATGAACTGCAAGAGTCTCTTCATATGTGATACCGCCAATCATGAAGACGATAATATCTTGAGGTCTGTATACAACGTGTTAAAAATATGGACAGGTGTATCACAATGTTAGACGTTGTTGCAGGGTGTACATCAGGTGTTTGTCAGGGTGTCTATCGGGGTGTACCTCAGGGAGTAGCTACATCAACGTTAGACGTTTTTACCTTTCTCTCAACTGTGAAGGCCCGTGGTATGGAAACTGTGATTCTTTCAATTTTCCTTTAATTAGACTGTCAATAATTTCTTGTATTAAAGGTACGTGTTGTGTATAAATGTTTTCTACGCCCTATTCAACAATGAAAATAAGTTAAATTTTCTGTAATTTACGGGACCCCGTTTTCCCAAACTATATTGTACCTTCAAACCTTTGAACAAGCGACGGCTGAGGGACATTGGTGTGTTGTTTTGTCCAAATAAGTCACTGGAACGAACATTCTTGCCACTGTATTGTATTATAGCTGAGACCATCTATGACAAGATGAAAAGCTCTATTTTTCAACAACAGAGAAGAAGTGAGTAACGCATGCTTAGAAGATTTACCCTTCTATGGTAGTCAGAGACGCCACGTCGAGCAAGCAAACTCAAAAGACCTGAAACATCATTATTGGAGTTTTTCTCGTAACGCAAAGCGTAGAGGAGTACAGTTCTCATGAGATCCAAATCTCTAACTTTTGGGTTGTTTATCAAACGACGTATTCTCTGTTATTGAAAAAAAGAATTATTGTTGATTGAGCATGTTTTACGTCATCTGAATGTGAGAACAGCGTACTTGTAATGCAGAATTATGATCCGATTGAGCTGCTATGTCTTGTTCTAACTCTGACACGTCAAGAAGACAGTGTTCGTTGACGAGACGCGAGAGCTCGCTTATTACAGTAACATGTTTTGTAACCGTGCCGGACATCTTACGAAACTGTGGATAATTCTCAACAAATGCCTGGAATGTGTCAATATCAGATAAGGTATTCTGCAATGTTGCACAACGCATTTATTCAAAATGAGGTATTTACGTACTTTCATGTCAGCTATGGAATCCAATTTTTGACTACTCTTGACAGTTTTTTGGAATTGTTCCATAAGCTCTTTACTATTTTGGGCAATCTCTCCAAAGTTCAGGTATTTATTCTAAAAAATGCTTTTGTAATTATGAGCAAGTTGGCAATGAATTATCTTCTTTTTACCAATAACACAGTTCTGAATTTTTACAATAAAGAGCAGATTTTATACCTTTTGATAGAAATCATCCTGTTCAGAGGATAGAACAACAGCCTATAAAATGGAAGGTTGCCATGTCAAATAAAAAAATGACATCATTACATTTCACTGTATAAATTTTATAGGCCAAAATTCAAGAAAGCCTTGCCTGAAGATCCTTGCTGATGCCTGGAACTTTGGATAAATCTATTCTGTTGTTGTTTATTCCAAGGAGCTCATGCACCATAGCCTGATATGTCCACTATATCGGAGAATAATGCATAACTAGGAGCAAGTGGGGATGAAATCATAAATTTAATAAAAAATACTCACTTGATTCAGTAATGGTGTGACTGGGTCATCTCGCCTATCAAGAATCAATAGCAATGGAGGAATATCTTGATGTCGGAAATCAAACATCGTGGCATTCTTGTCGATTTCAAGCTTCACATGGAAAAGAAAAACTGTATATGTGCAGAAGCTCAAAATAGTTAAGCATCATAAAGCTGCCATTACCCTGATGTTTCCTGCAAGCCTTCTAGCAAGTTCCGAAAAGCCATGATATCGAATGAGTGGACACTTGAAGAGACAAAAGGATGGCACAAAGTCCCTCAGTAGTTCGATCAAATGCTTTCACATCCCATGAAGAACCCTATAGAAGGTAATTTATGTGAAAATGGTTGTCAACAGGTTGTTACTCTGTGTTTACTCGGCCATGCCTGTGAACAATAAAATTTGACTTGCAGTTACCCCAGCTCTTGAACATGATGGAAGATTCAACGAGACTACATGAGGACTAACAGCAAAGTAATCAGCATAAAACTCCTGGGAAAATTTAAATTATTTTAGTACAATAATTTTGTTGTCTATTAACTGTTAACAAGTGATAAATGTTTAATATTAACTGAAAATTGGTCAAAACCTGTAATTCCTTTACTGCTTCATGGTCATCTGCTTCTGCCATTGCTTTGATGTCAGTCTCTTTCACTGTGTTGGAAAAATCTGGGCCAGAAAAATCTCATCTTATAAGTATCATGATTCATGTTAACTTAGTTTAAAAGAAAACTACTTACAAATATAATAATTTCCATATTTTGGCAACTTTAATTCTCTAATAAGATGCGCAATATTTTCCTAAAACATTAAAAATTTTGTACAGTTGAATGGAGTGCATAAAGAAACTGGTTATGAGTCAGTAGAAAAGAAAATACTGGTTGATAGCTCACTTCCACAAATATCACATTCAGAGTAAAGAAATTACATAATCCACAAGCAAGAAAGCCAATAGTGCCCGGAAGTATATATGGGTCACACTTACTTTAGTTGGACGAAGAAAAGTAATTGCTTTGAGATGTTTCATAGTTTCACGACCAGAAGCATCAATTCTCTCGAAAAGATATACTTCTTTTTGAAGTATCTCACTTTGTGAATAAACCATACTCACAATGCCAGTCTGAAAATCATTTTTCAAAGCTCAAATTATGTGGTCATTCCCGTTGAATCTCAATCAACAGAGTTATCAGACGTTGTATGCAAATCTAAACAAAATAGGATACCGTTTCTTTATCCATAAGTAAAACTTTCATTCCATCTTCACTATCTTCAACCATTTTCGTAACATATTGCTTCACTGCTGTGATCGTATTCATCTTTAACACACTAAAAATTTTGCACAGTTCAAAATTTTAATCAAATTTGGGAAACTTTGTTTTTATTTTTCTGTCATAATATCACTGATCTCTATTTTTGCCCTCTGGAGTAATAAATTAAATATTCCCTCTACTTTTGTATTGACAAATATGAAGAATAAAAAAAGAGTACTTCTCAATATAAAAGAAGAGCGAATGAGACTATTAAGATCTTATATCATGCAGCATCATACGTACTGCTTACTTCTCTAGTTCTGAACTATGCTATTAAATATTATTCTATCTTTGCACAGTTTGATTAATTTGCTGTTATTTGCATGTCCTGCGCAGCTGCGTCACTGGAATCATGCTTTACGACCACATCTGACCATTTTCAGTGAATGCTCTCCAATTATTGGTGCTGGGGTTATTGAACACCTGTCTGTTTCAACTTATCTGACATTAACCTATCAAGAATGCTAAAAGTGAGTCTGAGACAGAATACGTACGGTAAATCTTGGCTTTAGCACTTCAACTGTTGTAATAATGCTGACAAAAGCGTTCGCCTAACATGCCTAAGGAAAATTAATACGAACTTTATGTTGCTCGTTGTTAATTGACACTTTACAATTTAATACTAGGTGTGGAGAGCGGGCACACGAGTAACCGCTATAGAAGAGTAAACGAAGAGCTAGCCGGTCAAGGCCGTCGCTTTTCAAGTGTGCAAATTAGTGCAAGTACGTCATGACCGCCAAGTTGGACGACTTTGACAAAGATTTCCCTCGTGTACTATGCAAATATACGGAAATTCTTATAAGCCAAATAAAAAACAATTATCTGTACTTAATCTTTTACTAGCATATTTGCTTATGATGAAAACAGAAAACTTTTTTTTCTTTTTAACTATCTTCATTTCAAAGAAAAATGTGAAAAAAAAAGCACAGAATACCATCTTCTCAAATGGGATCAAAATCTTGAATAAATTATTTCATAATTTACCCAATCAGACCTGAAAAAAACGTAACCAGTAACAACGTTGGAAGTTCATCGAAATAAGCCAATGAAATCAGGCCACCAAATGATCTTAATACACGTCAATCAATCACTTTAGACAGCTAGATGCCCTCGAGACTCGAAAGTGAAAGGTACGTTTGTGAAATTTAATTCATTATTAAAAAAGGATACTTCAAAGTTCAAATGTCCGGATAAATTCGATCACGAAAGCCTTGTTTGATGTATAGATACGTTCTGCTTTACTTGTAAATCTTTTCATCGGTTATTTTTGTGCTTTCCGCCGTTTGACTGCATGTCTTCGCCGGCGTGTTTTCTTGTCAAAAGGACCTTGTCAGTATAAAAATGGCAAGTTCGTATGCTTCAAAATCTTTCTTTTCATTTTACTTAAGTGTGTTGCTGACTGCTAGTGTTTTGAGTACTTCGAAGTGAAGTTTTGTTGAATGTTTTTGCTTTTAACGTGTATATTTAAATCGGATATATTTTCAGCGACGAACTTGCGCCACGGACATCTTTCTCCGTTTCAACACAAAAATATGAACGAATTTTTAGTGAAAAGTAATAATATGACAAAATGAGCGACAAGGAGGGTACTTCTTGTTCCTTGAGTTGATTCTTGTAGATAAACAGTGCTTTTTTGAGCGAAAATTTTGAGATATTTTTGAAATATGAAAATCTTGGTTCATGTTGAACCTTGGACTTTCAATAAAATTGGCGCGAATTTTGTTCCGCGTGAAAATGAAGAGCACTGAGCACGAATTATGCAAAACTAACCAGCTTGACTATAAAAATCAAATTTTTCACTGTAAACACCTAAAAAAAACTTCGAAAGAAGTGGGTTGAAGTCAAAACCTTTCATCTAGACTTTGGAATAACTTGGTTAAAAGATGTAATGAAAGATAGTAATGTTTGCTTCTGTACTTGAGTACAGGTTATCATTGAAAAGCTATGGATTATTTTTAGAAGAATGCAACCCAATTCTTATCCTAAAGTGAAAATTTGAAGCAAGTATAAAGCGAATAATTATGGAAAGACATGTAAAAGAACCTGAAAGAAGTAAGGTAGGAAACTCAAAATTATCGTTAGAACTCTCATTGATTGCCCAAATTGTTTTATATGAAAATACTTTTATCTAATAACATTCTACAACGTCAAATGGGTGCAAACAAAAAGTTAACTCGTTTCATTCAATTCAAATTGATAGGTTACATATTTGAAAAAGACGATCAGACTGAGATTATTTTTATAGATTTACTTGTGCACACATTGAAAAATATTCCGGCTTCTCTTTCAAAACTTTGCACGAACAAGTTTGTCTTAATACTTTTAATATACAATCGTTTTGTTCATGTTTGCTGCAAGTATATATGAGTGCCATTTTGAAACAAAAAGCAGTTAAGTTTATTGTAGAAACAATTAGACAATAAATCAAAACAATTGTTGTCAACGATCTATCTGAAATGACGTTCAATGGCAATCAAAGGAGTCTAAATGACTTCCTGCGTTCGAAATGTGTAAGGGATCAAAGGAAACACTGATTCATTTAAAAAAAGATATTCATGAAACAAAAGTGAATGTAGTGTACATGTTGTACTTGTCCATACTGCCAGCTTAAGTTTTCATTTGTCTACTATTTTGATAAGTTAGTCAAATCAATTGGTGTGAACGATCTATGAGAAATAGACGTTCGATGGCCCACAAAGAAGTCTATAACACTTCCTTCTATTGAAATGTATAAGATATAAAAAGCCTTCATTTGAAGAAATCTATATTCATGAATGAAAAGTAAATGTTTTGTACATTTTAAAACAAAATGTGTTGAGTTTTGGGTAAGGATTAACAGACAATAAGTCAAAAGTGTTGCTGTGAACGATCGATATGAAATCGGCGTTTAAGAGAAAATGAAGAAGTCTATACGACTTCATTCTTTTCAGAAATTTAAAAGATGTGAAAAGAACATTAATTGGAAGAAATTTATTTATGAAACAAAAGTAAATATCATACTTAATCATACATCAGCAACTTGAAGTCTTCATTTGTCCACTATTCATTTAATAATTAATTAGAAATGTAAGTAAAAGTATTGTTGTAAAAGCTCTCTATGAAGAAAAAAGTTTAGTTTATTGAACTTTTTTCTTCATAGAGAGCTTTAATTTCTTGAATTTCAAGAAATTATATTTTTCAAGAAGTCCAGATCTTTAGCAAAAGCCCCACAAGTGTTACCATTATTTTGAAGATAAACCACTTCAAGAAAAGCAAATTCATTATTTGACAAGAAAAAGAGAATAAGTGAGATTAATGGAACGTTTATGAGCCTGTAATGACAGCACAATTTCTTCTTTTGTTTGGAAAGTTTACCAATTCCTTCAAGGGCGTAGCCCATTTCGTTGTTTGGGACGTTTATCACATCTTAAGAGGGCAATGTCTTAGGTTGTTGAGGCACTTCATCGATTCTTTGAAACTCAGCGTCTTCCGTTGTTGAGGTACTTCATTGTTGCGAACGCGGCGTCTTCCGTTGTCGAGGCACTTCATTCTTGCGAAGCGGCGTCTTCCGTTGTCGAGGCACTTCATTCTTGCGAACGCGGCGTCTTCCGTTGTCGAGAAACTTCATTCTTGCGAACGCGGCGTCTTCCGTTGTCGAGAAACTTCATTCTTGCGAACGCGGCGTCTTCCGTTGTCGAGGCACTTCATTCTTGCGAACGCGGCGTCTTCCGTTGTCGAGAAACTTCATTCTTGCGAACGCGGCGTCTTCCGTTGTCGAGGCACTTCATTCTTGCGAACGCGGCGTCTTCCGTTGTTGAGGCACTTCATTCTTGCGAACGCGGCGTCTTCCGTTGTTGAGGCACTTCATTCTTGCGAACGCGGCGTCTTCCGTTGTCGAGGCACTTCATTCTTGCGAACGCAGCGTCTTCCGTTGTCGAGGCACTTCATTCTTGCGAACGCGGCGTCTTCCGTTGTTGAGGCACTTCATTCTTGCGAACGCAGCGTCTTCCGTTGTTGAGGTACTTCATTCAAGCGTTCCGTTCTAACGGATGATGACTGATTCTTGGAAGGTCAACTGTTTCCGTTGTTTGAGTTGTTTAGAGACTTCTGTCAAGTACAGCGTTTTTTCTTCTTTTTTTTTTGACTGCTATGAATGCGTAAGGGTGTCAGATAGATTTAGATCATAAAGAGAACCATTAAAAAAGAGGAAGAAAAACGAAGAGTTCAAATATTTAGATGTTAGAAATATTGTGAAGAAAAATATGCTATAATGCGAGAAAGATGACAGCAATCTTTGGAAAAAAAGTACAGCAATCTTAGAAAAAATAACAAGACGAACTGACGCGGGATAAAGATGTCACGAGCTCTACATTAATATTTGTAAATATGTTGCACGGCACTGAAGTACATGCATGACTTTTGAAGACTTCTGGTAGCAGGTGTAATCATTTTTTACATGTTGAATTCTGTTTGTGAGTTGCATTTTGTAAAGGAAATGACGTGACTTTTTTGTCTTTTATAACTTATCTTAACTCAACAAGCTATTGGCCAACGTAGTTTCGACTAACATGCATGAATAACCTAGCTTTGAAAAGTTGTCTTTGTCATTGTTTTCGACTGGCACGTGATTTTCGACTAAGTGTGCACAAGTATATCTGTAGAGATGCTGCAGTGGGCGAAAAATGAAGGATGGATGTCAGGTAAGATGAAAATTTACGATGCACGAATGCATTAAACTTAACTTGATAGAGTGCTCTTTGCGTTTCAGAAAAAGCATGCTTATGATATCACGAATTATGGTGCTTTGTTCAACTGTTATTTGTTATGCTACATGATGGAAATACTAAAGATGATCATGGCGATGATATTGTGTGAAAGTTTTAACTAAGCAGCCAGCGATGAGCTTCAAATTCACTATGGCCACAAATCATCCATTCACTTGACCACGCACATCACATTTATTTTTGTAAGTGATTATTGATACGAAGAAATGTAATAATCAGTAGGAAATAAATGATCGTTTTAGGTGGATGAATGTAGCTAATAATGTTTTAATAATTTTTGATTTCAGAAATTTTCCTTCAAAACTAAACCCTTTCATCACTGCTGAACGTTTAGGAGAGGCAGTTGGATGCCTATGACTGCGAATCTACAGGTATTGAAGTTTTCTTGCAAATATCTTTTATAGATGATCATTACGGTACATGTCGTTTATTTCCCCTTCAACCCTCATTTACCCCTACCCTCATTTACCTCTTACCCTCATCTACCCCTTCCTTTATCTACTTCTAACCCTCATTTTCCCAAACACTTATTCATCCCCACCCTCATTCATCTCCCACCGTCATTTACCTTCAACTCTCATTCACCCTATTTATCCCCAGCTCTAAATAAATAGAGGGTGAGGGTTTATTGTTTCTATATTCCCACTATCAGTAAATTAAAAATCACCGGGTGGTCGATCTCTTGATGAATTCATAACAAACTACACATGCAAATTAGGCTTTCTTTGTTGATACAAACAAACAATTTATTTTACATATATAAAAGTCAAACTAGTTACTTGCTTTGTGTCAGAACTTCAAACAAAATTATTCATCATATGTTTAAGCTTTTATTCAAACTTTCTTCCTAATATGAACTGAAATTTATCTAGCCATGGCATCTTGTTAGCCCCACTTGATTAGTTGAAAAATAAAATAAACCTCTATTTGAGTGCTAAATAGAGGAAACATAGTGCTAGCACAAAAATTGTTTAAAATGTTGTTTCTTGATCATGTTTTTTGATTTTGAATTTCAAAATACAGATTTTAAATTTCAAAGAAGTGTGCAGAAAACCTGTGAACAATGCTAATGCCTAAACGAAGTTTGCTTAGACGCTTTAGTACTAAAAATGACGTTATTTTTTGTCATTTTGAATGACC